GAAGATGAAGAGGAGGATGAGGACAGTGCTTTGTGGGCAGCTGAGGGTCTCTCTTGCATCCCACGCACCAGTGCCTTCCTGAGGGCCTGGGTCTATCGACCAGGAGAGGACACGGAGGACAAGGATAACAAAGAGGACAACAAGGAGGAGGACAGTGATTCAGGAGCAGCTGAAGAGGAGGGAGAAGCTGAGGGTCCTTCTTCCATCCCCCCCACCAGTACCTTCCTAAAGGCCTGGGTCTATCGACCAGGAGAGGACTCAGAGGAGGAGGAAGATGATGAGGATGAGAATGAGGATGAAGATGATGAGTCAGAAGCAGCTGAGTCGGGAGCAAGTCCCTCCCTTCAGGCCCAGAGTGCCCTCCTCAGGGGCCGGATCTGTCGGCCTGGAGAGGAAACTGCTGAGGAGTGGAAAGAGGCCGAGTCCTGCCCCTTCCGCGTGGACATCTATTTACCTGGAGAGAAACCGCCACCTCCCTGGGCTCCTTCTCGGTTGCCCCTCCGACTGCAGAGGCGGCTCAAGTTTGAAGAAACCCCCGTCAGGCATCAGGACCCTGAGCCTCTCCTAAAGACCAGAAAGGTGGGTGCTGAGAGCTTAGATTCTTGAGTGTTAGGGAGGAGAGGGCTGGAAGCCGAAACTCCTGGGCTTGGGGCCAGAAGGGCTGGAGGCCCTAACTTCTGGGTCCCCTATGTTGCAGAGGGTTGCGCTGGGAGGGCTGTGTTCACTGTAATGCAATCCTTTGCAAGAGGCTGGGCCCCTGTGGGAGGAGGAAGCAGTTGCAGCTCAGGTCAACCCCAGGGAACCACCTCCACCTTCAGGTGGCTTGGCGAATGACTAGCCAGATAACAATCATTGTTATGCAACTAATTTTTGTTTGGTTCTCTCTCTCTACCCACCTCCCATCTGTGGCCGTTTGTATCTTGTGTCTATCTCTGTGCTGGTCCATCTCCAGGTGCGCTTCTCTGAGAAGGTCTCCGTCCATCTCCTGGCTGTCTGGGCGGGACCAGCCCGGGCCGCCCGCCGAGGCCCCTGGGAGCAGTTCGCCCGGGATCGCAGTCGCTTCGCCAGACGCATTGCCAGGGCCCAAGAGGAGCTGGGCCCCTACCTCACCCCTGATGCCCGAGCCAGGGCCTGGGCACGCCTCAAGAACCTTTCTACTTCTGTGGCCACCATACCTGCCCCTACCCAGACCTTACCAATGTCCCCCATCCAGGCCACGCCCTTGAGCCATGCTACAGCCTCTCCCCTCCTTCATATGTCTCCTTGCCTGGACCTCAGTGGGAGGCGTGGCTAAGATGATGTAGTTTTCATGTTATTAACTATTTATTTTTTTAAGTGTTGGTTTATATAGGAATAAAGTCTTGTCGTGAGCAGTGTCTCTGTGTGTCTGAACTGACAACATCCACTATTCCTGGGTCCCCAAGACAGTTGGGAAGAACAGCAAAAGGCGAGTGCCTCAATAGAGGATAAACTACATTCCCCATCATCTCTTGGATTTGCCTTTTTTTCATTGTGAAGCTTCTATTGAACTAAGGGCTGGTGGGTTTAGCAGTTTTTCTTTTGCTTCTGCCTAAATTTTTGTTAAACTTGGGATGGTTATCTCCCCAAGGGGGCTGGCAGCTGGACTCACTAATCCCTCAGAAAGTGTTAAGCTCCAGATTTCCGTGCCTCCTGGAATGTAAAGACTCCTCCTACTGGCAGGTGTAGTGAGTTCCTCAAGGCTTTCAGCTGCCCCGTTTCACATTTATAAGCCCTATTTCCTTACCTACAACACATGGCTAACAATCGCACATACCTTATGAGATTGAACAGCCCAAAGGAGTTCATATTTAAAACAATGCTTCAAATAACAAATGTTATGTAAGTGTTAGCTAGCATTGTAATTATTCTCTCACGTGCAGGCATGTCCTTTACTTACTCACCCTACTTTACCTCTCCAGCTTGGAACTATTCTCAGCAGTTCAAACAAGAGTGGCCCAAATGTCCTGCACCGTCCAGCCTCATACCCTCCCCCTCCGCACTGGTTTCCCCAAGTTCCTCTACACTATCATTTCATTCCCAAACCGACCAAGCCCCCTTCCACCTTAAGACCTTTGTAGGAGCTATAGCTACTGCCTGATGTTCCTATCCTTGAACCCTCTGGTTCAGCTAGTTCCTTGAGATTCTTCAGATACAGTCTGAAAGTCATTTTTTTAGAGATGTTCGACCCAGCCAGTTTGTGCCTCCATGTGCTTTCCTCCTTTATAGCAGACGAGCATTCTGATTTTTTGTTGTTTAAGGCCCATCTCCCATGATCGGCCTGTGATTTCAGAAAGCAAGCGCTGCTAAACAGCCCACTCCCTAGAGCATAGTACTAGGCACCCAGGCGGTGGCTAATAAGTATGGGTTATTAGTAAACTGGTGCAGAAGAAGGCATGTTGGGGCCCTTTGTCCAAATGAGCAGGCACAGAAGCTGATCGGAATATTTCATTGAATTACTCACACGCCAGCTTCCCATTGAAAATGGACAAGCAGATGGCGAAGGCTTGGAGAGGGCAGAGTGGGAAGCAGAAGTCCATGGTGAACGCGTCTGGGGCTACGCGGCCGAACTGGAGCACCACGTAGTTCGCTGAGGAGGAAGTCAGGAACTAAGCCTCGCGTGTCTCATTTCCCTGCTGCAGGCCTCTGAGCCGGGAGAACTACGACTCCCGAGAGGCTGTGCGGTGCCCTTTTCTATGCCCAGAATCCCTCTGAGGGCCATGCAAACTACACTTCCCAATAGGTTTGCAATAGCGTGGCGTCCGCCCTGCCTAGAAAAACGCTGAGGTGCTCATGGGAGAAGTAGTTCTCGTCCGCTTATGCCTCCCCCCCTCCTTTCCCAGGTAAACCGGTTCCTAGAAGCTCACGGTCATCCGGATGCACGATCTGGAAGTTCTTGACTGAGGCCCGGGTGACGCGACCATGAAAATCGAGCACATAGGTGCCGCTGTCGTCGCTCCACGATGGGGCTTTATTTTGCAGCAGGGCCAGCCCCTGGGTGGCCCCCCGTTGGAGGCGACTCAGTAGCGACTCCTGTTCCTAGAGGGTAAAGTAGGGGGCATGGTTAACCTACCACCAACCAGCTTTCTACCTCCGGACGCAGAATTTTGAGTCCCTAATCTGTCCTCACGTAAGTCTGACGAAGTCCTCCCAGCTTTTCACGTGACCTTATGCAACCTATCGGCCTTCTCCCTCGTAGGAATTATGACCTATCCCCCAGCCCCTCCTCTCCCATTGACCCAGAAATTCTCAACCTTGCAGGACTCACATTTTGTGGCTGGACGCTAATTCTCTGGTTTTGGGCGTCAATTCCTGGAATGATTACAGTCATTTTCCGAGGCCCTCGGAATCCCAAGACGTTGGTCTCCTGGGGGTAGCATGCTCCATTTGGCCTGTGTCTTTCTCCCTCCCCACCGTCCTGTTCTATTCTCTTTCGTCTCCCGAGCACTCACATAACACACAGCCCCCAGCTCCTTCCTGATCCGAGTAGTCTCTGGGAAGAAATTCTTCTTTTCAGGATTCACCCCATTGTCGAAGATGGAGAACTTCGTGCCCAAGACATTAGATCTACTCCAAGAGGGGAGTGATCAGCATAAAAATAATAATTATTACTGTTTTGCTGTTAACATTAACAGCTTTCCCATCTCATCTCATCAACTCTTCCCATCAATCCTCTACATAAGATTCATGTTCTGTGTCCCATGTAATCAGTCTCTGCCCTCTCCCATTCTTTGGTAAGCCATGAGTTTAGCCTCCTACTTCGGCTCTAAGGAATGCTCTTCCCTCTAAAACTAAAGAACTCATATATCCCAACCCTCTTCTCCCCCAGTGCTTAGGAGTCCCAGCCCCTTGCCTCTCAAGAAGTCAAATGCCTTAAATGTCAGCCTTTGCTCCAAAGCCTTCAGTTCTTTCGTTGCCAACCACCCTGGGCTTACAACTTGAAGAACTACAAAACCCATCAGCCCTAAGAGAAAAGATCCTAGAGCAGATGGAACTTCTACCTGATGGCCTGATGGGAAGTGTAGTTCAATTGTCCCTTTCTTCCCCCAGGCCCCCTGCTACCTGTTTCTCGCACATCAGGACTCTGCCCACCTGACTTTACCCACAAAATTGTCTCCCTCCCGAGATATGTCTGTGGGGTCCAGGGAGATGAGATAACTAGAGGTTTTGCTTCTTTTTCTCTTGCGCGCAGCCAAAAGGAAGTACTGTGGATGTAAGAAATAGCCTATTAGAATCGATTTTTGGTATCTGGCTAGGGCTAGGGGCCCAAAGACAAGGAAACACACTGTCCCCAAGACAGAGGAAAGGGTAATGGAGGAATGTGTCCCAAGGCTTGCTGGGAGATGTGGTTCTCACTGAAGGAAGTCATCAGCTGAGTCCTGAATAGGGAGCTTCATTTCACATCTTAATATCTCCCCTTCATTCCTTACACCATTGGGTCCAGGGTTGGGGCTGAGCCCAGGCAGGGATGAGCCTGACTGGCAGGCAGGGCCAGGCTTTGAAGAATAGGGAAGAGCCTCTCTTGGAAGTTTGCAGCAGGACTTCGGTAGGCGTTCAACAGGGAAAAGCAGGTCTGGCACTGAGTAGGGAAAAAGCCTCTTCTGGGAGAGAGAAGTACCTTGAGGAGAGACGGCCACACCCGGGAAGGGAGTGGCCAGACTAAGAGGAGCTAAACTCGGCTCCAGAAGGGAAATCTAAGAGGTGAGAGGCTTGGTTCCTGAGAGGCAGGGTTTATCCTAGGACTGGATGGGGCTTGATTAGCACAGAAGTCTCGGTGAGGGACCAGACTTTGCCCAACAAAGATGGGGCCAATACCTCAAGAGGCCTGTAATGGGTGGGGTTTGGGACCCTGTGGCCTGGCTTTGATAAAGACTGGCCCACCTGAAGGGTGGACAGGGCTTGATTATGGGATAGGGAGGGCCATAGGAAAGGAGAGGAGACTAGTTCTCTGAAGGGCAGGGCTTGGTATTGGAGCTGACTGGTCCTAGTTCAATGGCGACCAAGTTCGGGAATTGCGAAAGTCTTGACCTCGCTCAGAAAGGAGCTGGACTTGCCCCTGGGAATTGAGGCGTGCTTGCAAGGCTGCCAGACCGTACCTTCTGGCCGTCGGGCACCTCCAGGTAGAGATAGTAGCAAGGGAACATGCCCTTGTCTACGCCGCGCTTGTCACGCCTGATGCAACACTGCACCGTGCAACCGCACCGCGCAGGCCTCAGCACATACGCTTCCATGTTCTTGCCCGGCCAAGGGCCTGGGGCGCGGGGAGGCCAGCGGGGCGAGCTCCCGGCATCGCTGCTGCCCGTGCTGCCCGTGCCTTCCGAGGCTTCGGACACCTCCTCGCCGGCCGCCCCTGGGGAGTTCCTCACAGTAGACTCCGACTCCTCATTCTGCTCTTCCAGGTCTTCTCCCTAGCCCACGTGCCAAATTCAAGTTGAGGGACAGCCGAGACCTGCCCTTCACCCAACTTACCAACTAGTGATTGGCCATCCCAGCTCAAGAGTTACACCCTCTCTCAGCCAAGTTTTCTACCTATTGGTCAAACATCTCTGCCGCCTGCTGATTGGCCACTACGTGTAATGGGCCCACCCAGCCAAGTTCTCATCATCTGTTTACTGGCCAGTACCTTTAGCCTCCCTCTGCAACTACACCCACTCCATCTACCTATTGGAGAATCCCGTTCAAAGTACTGCCCATTCCGCTAATGTCAGTGTTCATTGGGCTAGATAATACATAATACCGCCCAGATCTACTCAACTGAAACTATCGCACTTTCATCCATGCCGAGGTGAGTGCCAGCTGGCCCTTTCCTTTCACTGTTTCACCCTCTCCAAAGCTCACTGCCTTTCAGTGGGCTGGGTTTTCATGTCTATGCTAACATCAATTCAGATCCTCTAGATTGACTTACTAAATGGTGCATCATAGAGCCTCTGCTAGCGCAAACATAACAGGTTCCACCCACCAGTAAAAAAGGACCTTGATTGGACTTCAGAATTTTAGCCGCCCCTCACCCCGCCAGAGTCCGAGACTAGCCCTCCTCCACCTATATTCTTACTGGCTGTGCCACCTCCCACCTTGTTGGAGGCCAAGTCTCCATGGCCCCCATCACCATCCATTCCAGGGTTTGGTCTCGGACTAGGCACCTCGTATTCATCTCCAACATCCTGGAATTCACTCTCATCCTCAGCACTGCCCCCTAAGAGGTGGAAGAAGCCCTAAGAAGACTGAGCTCAGGACACCTGGGTCCCAGGAGTTTGGGACAAGGTCACCAATACTAGTTGGAAAAGGCCAGAACTCCTGGGTTTCTGACCCTTATTTATTTCTCATCAGCCTCACTTGCCAGATGCTCCTCCCTCTCCTTGTGCTCAGGGGTCTATACAAGCTGAAAAGTCTCTATTCTGGATCTAAGGACAAGGAGAGGTTAGAATCCTCCCTTTCCCTTGTCCTAGAGAGAGCATTGGAGAGACTGGGGAACTAAAATGGGATGGTGAGCAGAGTTTGGGGTGATAACCCAGAGTCCTGTTATTGAAATCATTGGTCATGTCATGAGAATAAAAGGAAATGTCACTACAATGGAATATTACTATGAAATAAAAAGGAATGAAGTACTGATAGTGCTACAACATAGATGAACCTTGAAAACATACTAGGCAAAAGAAACCAATCACAAAAGGTCATATACTGTATTAACCTATGTATGAAATGTCCAGAATAGGCAAATCAAGAGACTGAAATTAGATTACTGGTTACTTAGGTCTGGGAGAAATGGGGAGGCAGGTACTGATAAAAGATTCAGGGTTTTCTTTAGGGGGTGATGATAATGTTCTAAAATTCATTGTGATGGCTGCACACCTTGGTAAATACACTAAAAACCACAGAATTGTTAACTTTAAATGAGTGCATTGTATATTATTTAAAATATATCTCAGCAAAGCTGTTACAAAAGTGAGGAGGGAAGGATTTGCCACGTGGACCAGAGGGCCAGATTTCACCCGAGGTCCCCAAAATTACCAGGTCGTTGGCGGGCTGGCCAACCCCTGCGTCGAGTCCCCGGAGGCTCTTCATAAGGAGGTGAAGAGGCGAGAACATCCTCCACAGAGACTTCCTCCAACTCCGGATCGGAACTGTCTGGTAGTCAGGATAGGGAGGGGGACTAGAGATTGGGATTTCTGATGACTGGGGAGGGAAAGATTCAGATTCTTGGGTGTTGGAGAAGGAGAAAGTTCAGGACCCGGACTCTGTGGTGGGAGGGATAACGGGGTTCGCGGGGATCCTTCGGAGAACAAAGATTAAGGTCCAGACTCCTGGGTACTAGTGGGAGTGGAATTCTAGGGTATAGGCTGCCCAAGGATTTGAGATTACCTGCCTCTGTCAGCGATACCAGTGGGCCACACTCGCCACTGCCATCTCCACAGCAGCTCACAGTGCCCAGGACACTGTGGGTAACAGGGCGCAGATGTGCCTCTGGCACGTTCTCCTGAAGAAAAGGGTTCCCGGGGCCTGGGAGAAGGTGCCCATTATCAGGATGTACAAATTCTGGTCCTCTGAGAAGATCCGCCTCCTCACTGGGCTCCCAGACATTGCCCTTGATTGACTGACGACCCAAATCCCCGAGACCCACTGAGAACCCAAATTCCATCCTAAGGTTCAAACAAGCACAAGCCTACCGCTAATCAGTCGGCGGTTCCGTGTGCAAATAGCCCCACGCCGCGCTCTCAGTCTCTCCAGTACCTCGGCTCTAAATCACCCAGGCCCAGCCCCTAGCACTTCACCAACTTCAGCCGTCAGGGACTTCCAAACTGCATTCCGGCTTTTCCAGGCCACGCCCCTAGTCCTACCAGGCCCGCCCCAGGACTCCTTAGACCTCCCCCACCAACCCCGCCCTCTCTGGGAGGTCCCCGGCTCTCCCAGGCTCCGCCCCAGAGCTCTAACAAAGCTAATTACAGGATTCTTTCGGGCCCCACCTCTAGTTGCACCATAACCTGCACCTGCGCTCTTCAAGGCCCTGCCCCAAAGTCTCACAGGTCCTGTCCCTGGGCCCCAACAAGCTCTGCACAGAGGCTCTCCTGAGCCCCGCCCAAGGGTTGTCAGGCCCCGCCCCCGTGCTCTACCAAGTCCCCGCCCCAGGGCTCCGCCAGGCCCGCCCATTAAAGTCCTTTAGACCCCGCCCCCACACTCCCACAGACCCTGCCTCCTCCACAGGCCTATGCTCCTGGACTATTCCTCACCCCTGTCTCCCGAGAGGCGTTTCTCCCGCCACCATGGTCGCCGGGGCCACAGGAAAGAATCCAGATTGGCCCGAACCATGAGGGCCTCTTGGCGCTTCCGTCGCTGCTTCTTCTCAAACAGCCGCCGCTGCGGGAGCGGGAAAAGGGTGTATGGCGGCCAGGAACCCGACAGGAAGACAGGGATGGGTGAAAGAGGGCCTGGGCCAAGGGGAGGCCTGCGTCGGTGGGAGAGTTCCAAGAGTTGAGGCCTTCAATCCCTGAGCAACTCCTTCCTTCGATCCAGGAGTCCTGGCACCCTGTCCCCTCCTCCCCCAGGACCTAGGAGTCCTGCTCTCCAGAACCCTTGTTCCTTAGAAATTTTGGAGTCTCAGCACCAAGGTTTGCTTATTAAGGTCCTGAATTCCTATTTTCTCATTTCCCAGTTGCAAAACGTGAGGCTCTGGAGAGCAAATGAGGGCCAGGAGTTTCAGAACAAGACCTGGGGATGGGACTTTTGGGGAGGTATGGAAGATGGAAGAGGGGGTGGGGTTGGCAGGATTCCTGGGCATAGTACCTGCTGTTCCAGCTTCTGTAGCCTCATGGTGGCAAGCTCATCCCCCAGGGCCCTGAGAGAGGTGCAGGCTCATAGTGACAGCAAGCGGGTCACCCTTGTTGCCCAAGAGCCCCTCCCTCTCCTCATTCCCTCTGCTCAACTTAGGGTTCTGAGCACTTGTGAAGTCACAGAAGGGGCAGAACTTCAGCCTGCTCCACCAGTTCTGAAGCTTTTTCTCCCAGCACTTTGTCTGTCTAGAATCCAGAAGTCAGAGATCCCAAGGCCCCTCCTGTCTCAGGACTCAAAGCCCCCAGCCTCTCCTCTTTCAGACCCAAGGGTCTCCATCTACAGCTCCTTCTCTTTAGGTAGGACCCGGAAGTCCAGGCCCCCAGCCCCTTCCTGCAAGGACCAGAGCTGAATGGGTGTGGGCATAATGAAACTTTGAGAACTCCCCCCTGCACCTGATTTCCACTCCTGCCCACCTTATTTCCCCACTCACTCTTTCTTCCATATGTCATTCTCCTGAGACATTCTAGAGAAGCAAAAAGAGGAGTCAGGACTCAGACCCAACATCCCAATGGACTCTGCCCTCCAACACCTGATCTTAAACTTTAAGATTTTCTCCTGGACCTATACAGCCCAAATTCCAGCACCTACACTTGTTACGGACCCAGCAGTCTGTTTCTAGCTTTTATCACTATGAGGAGTTCTCTTCTCCCCAAATACCTAACTCTCCTAAACCCAGGCATGGGAACACAGGACTTTTGACCCCAAACACCCCACCTCTAGAGACCTGAGACCCCAAGCACCCACCTGCCTGGGATCCTGGAGACTCCCTCTCCTCCTTTGGTGCCTGGAGAGGCTTTTCACATTCACACCTCAGTGTCTTGCCTCTCTGGCCAATTTCTAAACATACCTGACCCTCTCTTTGGGAGCTGGGGACCTAATTTCTGAGTTTCTGGGAAATAAGCAGAGAAAAATAAGAGGGCTCAAAGGGAGGGGGGATTCCCCCTGGGACCTGCCTCCTGGCCTCCCATGCTCCACTTCCAACAAAGCAATGACCCCTGGCCTCTGCTGCAGCCAGGTAACCCTGCTCCAGGGGTTCTGAATTGGAAGAGGATGTGGGTGTTCCTTAAAGGGACCTAAGAGAGGCTGCATCTCAGGCTCTGTCTCATATGAGAGACTTAAAAGGTGACCTGTGCCAACTGCTACCGATCTGTAATTCACAGTCACCTCTTGCGGAGAAAATAAATGGGAAAACTACAACTCCCATGAGGTGAAGGGGCCAATATGCCCGCGGAAGTTGACTCATTTTCCCCTGTTCCGGAGGGAGTTGTAGTTCTCTTTGAAAGCCCCTTTTCTCCTTTCGCCTAAAAAGCAGGAAATGTGGCGTCACAAGATAGGCCTTCCAAGAAAGTGGCTTTCGAGAAAAGGCCAGCGACTTCGATGAGGGGCGGGGCCGCTAGGCAGAGGCCGGAGGGACTTGGAGCCAGCGTGGACCAATCTGGCTGCTGAAGGCGGGTCCTCTGCTGGAAGGTGGGCGTGGCTTAGGGGGGAAATCACCGAGAACGCAGCGGAGGTCCTAGCTCAGGAAAACGCCCTTTGCGGTGAAGGAGAGGTGAGGGGCTGGAGGGACCCAGGCCGTTGGGTTCCGGGAAGAAGGGAGGCAGGGGACCAGAGGGCTGGAAAACTGAGTCTCGGAGGAAGACACCAGTACCTCTAGATCCTGAGAAAAAAGGAGGTTGGTGCCCTGGACCTTTGGGTCTGGGGAAAGAGAGGGTCGAAATCCCGAATTCCTGAGTCTAAGCGAAGCAGGTGCTGGAAACCAGGATTCCTGGGTCTGAGGCAGGAAAGGTCAGAGGCACTGTATCCTGGGTCCCGGGAAACGAAACGCTTTGAGTCTTGACTCTTGGAAAAGGGCAGGGTGGGGAGGGTCCAGACTCCAGAGTCCAGGGGAGGAGGAGGCTTGGGACAGACATATTCCACTTCTCTGCCTCCCACAGACCACGCCGCCATGCCGCCCTCTGGGCCCCGGGCCGCCCTCCTCATCCTGCCACCTCTGCTGTTGCTGCGCGTTATTCTGGCCGTGCCTCTGGAGCGGGGGGCTACCCAGAAGGAGAATCCCGCGACCGAGAGCCCCGTGAGTGGCCCTGCCCTGCTCGCCAGCCAGGTGTTTGCAGTGGTACTACAATTCCTGCGTCCTCGGTGGCCCCTGGGTGGCTACTCCAACCCTCGAATGCGGCTTGTAGTTTGCCTGCCATTCTTTGCTATCCCAGGGCTTTGAGGTGGTGAAAAACTTGGGGTGTGGGGGAGGGGGTCAGATTTCTAAGCCCCTGACTTTGAGGTATGGGAAGCCAGATCAGATTTTAGATTAAAAAAAAAGTCTGCATCACATCCCCATCTAAACCTCTCTGCTCTTTTACGACGCCCTCCCCTTAAGAAGGAATCTAGGAAAAAAAAGAACTACATTTCCCAGTAGCACCTTGAGCAGGTGGTGTTAGCTAACTGGGGTGGCCTCGCATCATGGAGTTCATGGGAGTTGTAGTTTAAATTATGACTGGGACATGTAAACTGCTTATTCCAACGAGCGTTTATGGAACCCTATGAAACCTTTAGTTTTAGGGAATTTGGAACTTTAAAGATCCTCAAGGCCAATACCCTGATTTATGGCCAGAATCCTGCAGCTCCCAGTAGGGATGAGCACTTCACTATCTGTGGAACAGATCTTTCCATGTGTGGTAGGTCCCCACCTAGCAAGTTAAGCCTCTGTTCCATGAAATCTTTGCAGTCACAGAAGGGCTGCTTGAGTCCCCTTTCCTTTCATTCTTTCCACACATTTCTTGAGCATCTTCTACGAGCCAGGGACAGTGCTGGAACAAGCCCCATGCCTGATTCACTGGGAAGACAAACAGCAAGGCTCTCTGAGAACAGACATCAGGGGACATGGTCAGGGAGGAAGGAAGGGTCACTTAAGCTGAGATCCAAAGTGTGGGAAGGAATGTTCCAGATGGAAGGAACAGCCCAGGCAAAGGCTGTCTGGTAGGAGAAAGCAGAGTGGTAGAGGGACTTGAAGGATGCCAGTGAGGCAAGTGACGGGGAGCTGAGGTCAGAGAGGGGACAGGGCAGATCACACTGGGCCTTGTGGGCCATGGTGGAGAATTTCTTTATCCTGGGGCTAATAAAAATCACACAGGGTTATAAACATCAATCATAGCAATCATGACAACATTGACAGCTCCCACTAAGTAGCGAGTTAAACATTTAAAGATATTAACTCCTCTGATCCTCACAACAGCCCCTATGAGGTGGGTACTCATTACCCTTACTTTACAGGTGAGGAAGCTGAGGCACAGAGAGGTTAAATAACTTGCCCAGGGACTAAGATTACCAGACTGGGCCAATAAAGACACAGGACACCCAGTTAAACTTGAATTTCAGATAAACAAAGAAAAATTATTAGTATAAGTGCACTCCACACAATATACTTATACTGAAAGTTATTTGTTGTTTTATCTGAAATTTAAATTTAGCTAGGCATCCCAGCAGTCCTTAACAAGGTCATATAGCCAGTAACTGGCAGATTTAGGATTTCAGCCATTGTGTTTGGAATAATGGCCCCCCAAAATGTCCATGCCCTCATCCCCAGAAACTGTGAGTATATCACCTTACGTGGCAAAGCAGTGTTTGCAGGTGTGATTGAGTTAAGATCTTCAGGTGGAGAGATTAGCCTGTATTATCCAGGTGGGCCCAGGGTAACCACAAGTGTTCCCTATAAGAGGGAAGCCAGAAGGTTGGCGTCAGAGGCGATGTGATGACATAAGCAGAGGTCAGAGTGATGCAGGGCATGAGCCAGGGAAGGCAGGCAGCCTCTAGAAGCCAGAAAGGTGAGGAAACAGATTCTCCCCTAGAGTCTCCCGAATAATCTCAGCCCGGCTGACACATTTTGGACTTCTGACCTCCTAAGAGAATAAATTTTTGTTGCTCTAAGCCACTTAGCTTGTGGTACTCTGTCACAGCAGCAGTGGGAAGTTGGTATACCCACAGCGGCATGGCTGGTGATCTGTTATCATTTGTTACCTATGATGTGTTCCACAACATATCTAATGATAGCAGTAGCAGATGGGGACTATCTTCCACAGCCTTATCATAGTGCCAGGCTTTTTATCTCATTCAATTTTCACCGCAGCTCTGCGAGGTAGGGAATTTATTGCCTATTTTACAAACAGAAGAGGAAAAGGCCAGCCATCTACGCATGGCAGGGCTACGACCAGGAGTCCAGGAATTTCTATCTTGTTCACTTGGCTGTGTACCCTGGAACCGTGCCTGCTACATGGTAGGAGCTCAGTGAATGCTATTTGAGTGAATGAACGAATGGATGTATATGTCATTTCTTGCAAACAAATACCAGTGTGTTCCCTCTGTGGGCAGCATTGGACTGGGTGTTTACCCATGTGAATTCCATTTCATCTTCAGTACAGACAGACCTGGGAAGAGGTGAGAACTGTGGGCCAGAGGATCAGGCAGTTTACGAGGGTTACAGAACAGCTGGGGTCTGCTGGCTCCAGAGTCTTTGTCCCACAGAGTAGGCCTCCTGCTGAGGGAAGGGGTGGGTGGTCTCTGGGTCCCTCAGCAGGTGTCCAGGGAAGCAGAACCTGGATCCTACCTGCCGGGGAGACCCAGAAAGGGTTGGGGCTACTATATTCATCCTTGTCGCCTCAGGATACAGGCCTGTACTATCACCGGTACCTCCAAGAGGTCATCAACGTGCTGGAGACGGACGGGCACTTCCGGGAAAAGCTGCAGGCTGCCAACGCCGAGGACATCAAGGTGCGGCTGTGTGCCAGCGCGATGGGAGGGGATGCGCATTCAGAGGGCAGAGCTCAGGAAAGGACTGAGTTCCCTAAAGGGAAATCTTCCAGCTATCACAAAACTGAGCCTTGGAGGGGGGATTCGCTTCTCCGGGTCACACAGCTGGGAAGGGATCTGGGAAAGACCAGATGTATGGTTCAGTGTGGCTACACATGACACAGGTTCCCAGTCTCAGTTCTACCATTTACCAGCTGGGTGACCGCCCCTCACCGTGCCTCAGTTTCTCCATCTGTGAAATAGGGTAATAATAGAACCTGCCTCACAGGACTCTCCGAGATAAGATGTGTAAAAGGCTTCGATATGCGCAGTGGTCATCCTCAGTAAGCACCGAGTGAGGGCTGGGTCCGGGGGTACTGGGCACTCTCTACCCAGGAAGAATTCAAAATAGGGGAGATGCTGTCATCACTCATGTCACCCCTAACACTCACATTAGGCCCCCAAAGGAGCCATGATTCTCCCCATTTTACAGAGGCAGATGCTGATAGCAGTGTCTGTCCTTCTTGTAGGCCCCTTGAGCTGGTTGCGCCCGGAGATCATACCCCCTGCCATTCTGCCGGGCAGCATCCCTCAGAAAGGATGGTGTCACCCTCTGTGAGGAGAGAGGGCTGTCTGCCCCTACTCCTCCATCCCACCCTGAGCCCCCTCCCCATTTGGGTGCAGGTTGGAATGTCCCACCTAGGGAATCCACCCTGAGTTCTCCAAACACTTCGGCCCAGGGACGTCCCCAAGACTTGGGACTGATGGGGAGGCAGCTCTGCTCCCCCCAAGACCTCCCAGCCTTCCTGGGGCTCTTGTCTGTCCCCATCTCCCTGGCCCCGGACAGTGGACGGCAGACCTAGAGACTGCTGAGCCCAGACTGTCCCACTGCCCAGCCAGGGAAACAGAGATCCTAGAGGCCATCTGGCTTGCCCAAGGTCATACAGCTGGGAAGCGACATCAGAAACAGAGTGGCCATATAGACAGGCAGGTTCTGCAGTGGGATGGTGCTGCATTCCAGTCTCATGCTCTCCTGGGCAAGTGGCCACACCCCTCTGAGCCTTGGTTTCCTTCTCAAGAAACCAGGAGGCTCGTGCAGCAATTTCTCTGTTGAGAGGGGTGGGGGGTGGGTTGTGCGAATCAGCGATAATCCCCACTTCAAGGGTTTGGCAGGGAAGAGGTGTGCTGGGGTCACGCAGTGCAGTGGTGCCAGGGCTGGGATTTGAACCAAAAACTCCCACTCTGGGGAGCCATGACACTGCCTTGGTCACCAGGCTGGAAACTGGCTGCCCATCCTCACTGTCTGAGGGACTATAGGCCAGCAGCTTCTCCTCCTGGGCCTCCGTTTGCTCATCTGTAAAATGGGGTGGAGGGCAGGATTAGAGGACAGACTCAGTGAGTTCAGCGCAGAACTTGGCTCATAGTAGCTGTTTGACTAGTTGAGGTTAATATGACTGGCACTGGGGTCCCTTGTCCTGCTGCCTCTGCAAAGGCCACCCCTTCACAGGCTGGAGAGACCAGATCTGAGTCAGGAGTAGCTCAGAAAGCACTCTGAACAATAACGGAGGTAGTGGGGGTGCTGGGGAAGCCCCAAGAGGGACCCAGTCTGTCTGACAAGTGAGGAGAAGGATACTCCGAGTGAGGTTTGAAATTCTGAGTGGGAGTGTCTGGTATAGAAGTTGAAATGTGTATGTGTGGGAGGGGGAAAGGATGACATTTCAGACAGTAGGAACCATGTGTGCTGATGAAGCATTCTGGTGCCTTCAGCTGGTGGCTGGCAGCGCCTTAAAACTGACTTAAAGACAAGGGGGATGGGGCATGGGCAGGGTCGGGGTTGGGCATGGGCAGATGGAAGCTCCTGCAGGGTCTTGAGTGCTTGGCCCAGGGATTCTGTCCTGCTGATATTGGGGAGCCATGGGGAGCTGTGAGCAGGAAAGGAATGAGGTCAGCTCTGACTGAAAAACAGACATAAGCCAAAGCAATGATACAGGTTGCTCAGAGAAGGCACTTGACTCAGTTTGTGTGTGTGTATATGTGTTTGTGTGTAGTGGGGCCAAGGGGTTTGTCAGAGGATTCTTCCCAAAGGAGATGCCACCTGCTTAGAGTTTTGAAGGACAGTCAGGATGATTTGGTTACGCCTGAAAAGCATTGGCAAGAGAGAATCCCAGGCA